ACGCGGCGATGCCGAGAGACGAAGCATGGTGACCGCGCCCCGTCGCTGAAACCAACCGGCAACGTGCCATGCACGCTTTTTAAAGCGTCCGAATAAACTTAAAATATTGATCTAATCGACAAACCACCTATGCAATTCTTAACAGGGCATATTAGGCTATCAAAACCATCCATGAAACCATACCACTAATTAATCCAATTCTCCTACAAAATTGCCAAACTTAGCCTTGTTCAAACCACTTTTCAAATTACGAAAATCGACTAAGTCTTGATCGGATTCGCGTCAAATTCGATTTCCAATCTATTAGGTATGCTAGCTAGTGAATTCCTTTCTCGATCGCAGGTATTTCATCGCCATCTACAAAGTTCATACTTCCAACTCTACTAAAGTTTCAGATATATATTTTATAGTGTTTTCGCTCAATAAAACTTCACAAACATCCGTACTAGATAATTTTATATGTCACGAAACGATCTTTCGCTTAGCATTTCATTGGTCGCTTTTAAGTTATGTACATTGATTTACACCCTATATTATATACATTTACACATAAATATGATGCTATGCGATGTTTTAGCAAAAAGATTGTACAAAGATAACACCGAGGGTGTTACACGGGTCGACAAGGTGGAGGAGGTGGTGGCGGAGTTGTGAGCGAGATGGATTGGTGGTGCGATGGTGGTTGCTTGCAAGCTCGACGGACGTCTAATGACGACGGGTGGTGCTACTGTTATGCATGGGCAAAGCCGAGGCACGAGAGAGGGTGAGAGAGCGAGAGTGAATGAGCGCGTGGGGTGCTGTGGCTTACAAGGGCACGCGTTGGCTCGACCGGTCAGGCTAACGCCGGCAGACGTCCGCCACGCTGCGGTGGTCATGCGCCTATATTCTGTCGGCCCTTCACCGGGCACGCGGGCGTGGTTCAGGGGCTGCCTTCGCCGACTGATAGCGTGAATTGGTGATCCAATTACTCCTAATCCGTTGCAAATTAGCAAAAACTTCCTTAATGAAAGTTGTAGAGCTACATGAGATCTCCAACTTTGCTTTAGGAAGAATCCCCAAATTCTCAATAGTTTGAAATCTACAAAGCCCTAAAGTGCTGCACTTAAAACTAAAATCCTCGTTTTAGACTTGGATAAATTTTGCAAGTCCAAAACAGCATTTTATTGAAACTTGTGAGCTGTTTTTGAGCATGCTATGCACTGAATTAGACCTTGACCCAAAAATAAAAGTTGTTACCCTAGTCAAGTACTACAACTTTGCTTAAGGGTGCACTGCCATGCAAACACTCTATCCTATAGTTCAACATAAGTCAAACATACAACTTGAAAATAAAAGCCTGCACTATAACCATGACTTAGAGGCCAAATGGGTTCAAAGTCATGAATACCAAAGTTGTTCCATGTGACAGTCTAAACATGTTTACGGTACTCCTAAGGTCCCACAAATATTTTATACATTGGTCACATGTAAATCCTAGCATATGTAAGCATTAGCATATATATATATATATATATATATATATATATATATATGAATCAACATTTCATGTGACAAAGTACAAAGTATAAGAATGAGATGAAATTTCATATGCTCATGTTCATGAATGCTTGGATGATGCTTGTGCTCATGAAGTGCAAGTGCAAATTGTAATGCTTAACACAGAGGCGTTACAGCTGGAGAAAGACTACTAGCCACACTGCTAATGCCCCAACTCTATTTTTATTTCAGGACTTGTTTACCTGCGCCACCCGTTGCACTTGGGTTGGGAGAGAATGGATTGGAGTGCAGTCAAACAAGTCATTAGCTGCAACTGTGAACTTCATTTATGGCTCTATAGTAGACAACTAGAAAAAAGTATGTTTTAAACTTTACATTATTAAATTAAATATTACATAATTCTCTGCCTCATAACTTCACTCAGTATCCTCATATCACCTATGGGTGGGACTAACATTTTTCTCCCAGAGCAAAGCTCTGCTTTCATGGATCATGGATGCCAGAGTTTTCTACAACTACACACTCCCTCCTGAAGTGAGGAGGCGTTGAGACTTAGATGAAAAAAGGGTTTCAAACATTGGTATCTTAATTCTTACCATACCATGGCTAGTCTAAGGATCGACGAAGTGCACATTTAGACCTGTTTGGTATGTGACTCTAGCGAGCTAAGCCAAAATTTGTTCCAAGCAAAATATAGGAAGCGACTAATGCCAAACTAGACATAAAAAGTTTGTATTTGGTTTTAGTTTGGTCGATGACAAAACTATAAGCGGCATGTGGATTCCTTATGTCATTATTTTAAAAGTGTTAAAATAGAGCCAATTAGGTCATAAAATATTGGATTAATTGCAAGAAATATGGTCATTCATCTGTTTATAAACTGGATTGCACATTAAAAGTGCGTTTGGCAAGGGTTTGGTTTCTCGAACAAACGATTCGAATCATTCTGATTCACATATGAAACATGATTTTGCCTTATTGACTTTAATAAAATTCACTTCAACTATTTGTATGAAAATACATCGAAGTTGAAGAGATGTATCTAATAAATGACATGTTTTACTTTACAATAACCCAAGTTTGTGCAACTACCTCTCTCTGATTCTCATATGTGAGTCCAGGAAACGTTCCTAGTTTTGATTACGAATCTTTTTAATCGTTCAGCAAGGATTTTTCTAAGAACATTTGGTAGAAATTCTACTATTTTGTAAGAGAAACGGTTTAAGGAATAGAATATTGACCAAACTTTATAAAGCCAAGGAGATACATCAATTGGAAATGAGGATGTGTCTAATCCCAATTGGGCACAGCGATTGCAAGGTTGACACTGGTGGAAGAGGCTCTGCGAAGGGTGTGGGTCACGTCCTTCCATGGGCTGGTCAGAAGTGAAGGGCGCAAGTCGGAGGCATCCTTAGGTCATCCATGCTGTCGATATATGGTGTGGTGTCATTGCAATGCTAGGGACAATATTGTTCATGTTGGTGCGAGGACGAGGCGATGACCACTGTTGACGACTATCGTGTGCTAGGATGTCCAAGGCCTACCAAGACCGCGGAGACTGAGACTATGAAAGACGTTGCAGCTATGATAGCTGCACCACCCTCGGAGGTGTGGCGATAATGGTGCAACGCATGCTTGTGTCCGTGGAAGTAGATTAGACCACACCCTAGTGCAAACACCACACGACAAGGTCCCAAACGAGTGTAAGGCATGATGAAAACCACACGACAAGACCCCTAACGTGCTAAAGGATTTGGGCGTTGTTGGGAAGGATGGGAAGCTAATACAAGACATTATAGTTTGCCTAAAGAAATTGTTGCCACCAGACCTCCTCAAGCCCCTGTTGACTTTAAAAGGTCGTGTCTTTTGAGACTTTATAGTTTTCTGTTGATTGCTCCTTCTTGGGGCTATTATTTGCCTAATCTAGATCTTCTTTATTAACATAATCGGTAGTTCTCCTGGTTGGTTTGTTTTTTTAAGTGAAAAATGAACTAGAGAAAGGTAAGATTCGTGCCGTTGCTTACTGTCGACGGAGACTTGGATGTCTCTGTTGCTCTCCCTGTCTTGTTCTCTCGTGCTCAATAGAGTTATGTGCATGATAACGTGTAAAAACAAACACTAAAATGGATTTTAAACAAACAGACGATTCTATTAACATCTGTACGAGCAGTGTTATTACAAAATCATACATGACGAAGGGATTGTTCCACACCGGCGCGGAAAGAGGAATGCGGCACCCCTATATACTAAAAAAAAATAAACCAGTCGCCTCTTTCGTCATTAACAACCGCTAATCACGTCATTGATCACCGATTAATTGTATCTCTCACACGTTCAACAGGTAGATATATATACTACTCCATAACATTGTTTGATCGGGTATGGTGATTATTATAATAGCAAGTAAAACTATACTATTCCTAACACGACATGACGCGAAGAAAATTGAAACGATCAATCAGCCGTTTATTGGTTTTAGTTAGGGCTTATCAGCTATGGTATAATGTTTTTCTCTCATGACAAATCAGCCGTATAAACTAGCACAAACGACTTATCGAACCAGGCTGAATAATGCGATATTAAATGCTCACGATTTTTTTCAACGAAAATTTTTAAACCAACCGGTGCAGGAACAGGAACAGGAACGTGACCCCCACCACTCCGTAGCTGTCAGCAGCAGCAGCCAGCGGGTGAGCTGAAAAGCGAGCCAGCCAGATTCGTCAGAAACCTGCAGGCCCGGGCCGGCCAACCAGATCCATCCTCCTCACCTCACGCCGGCCGAGTCCGGCGGCGACCCAGCTGCGCGGGTGGCGTTTCCAACCAAGCGAGCGACCGCACACGCACACGCGCGCGCGGGCGCCCGTAAAAAAATCGGGGTCAGCGCGTGGACTCGGCCGCTGGGATGGGTCGAAATCGAATCGGCGGCACCGGCACCCTGCCTGGCTGTCGACACTGTCGTGTCCTGTTGGTGGCGCCCCAGAGAAAAGCAAAAGAAATACCGGAAGAAACTGCCTCGTGCCTGTGCCTCTTCCTCTCCTCGCTTCTCCCTGTGGAGGCCAGGCGGCGAGTGGTCCAGTCCACCTCCAACTACAGATCCCAGCTCGCGCGGTCCAGCTCTGAGCTCCCTCCTCTCCACACCCGGTCGTGAATCGTCGTTCGCTCTGGTCTCTGGAGAAAGCTTGTAATTTTTTCCTTCTGGGTTTTGTTTTTGCTCCCCAACCTTTTCCTGGCGCGATTTCCTGTGTACGGTTGGTGCGGTTGGTTGGTCATTTTCCCGCAACTTCTCTTTGGTTCCTGCGCGAGAGCGCCCTCTTCTTTCCGGCTGCTACCCGTTGACTCGGGCAGGCATTCCGTCGAGCACCTTCCGTGCGGCGCCGGGTGGCGGCGTGGGGGGCGGGGCCCTGCGGGGTTGCATGGTCCGTTGCCTGGACGGGCGGCGGTTCCTGGTTTCCCGGGCGACGTTCCTTGATGCCGCTGTTGTGGCAGGCGCAGGGTTCTAGCGGATGGAATGCAACGGCTGCTATGGTATGTGATGCTTTTGCTTTCCTGGACTCCTAGGTGCTTTTATTTTTTTGGTAAACTAGGCTGGACTGAATTTGTTGGAGAATTTTGCTCATGGTGATTTCTGTTGTTCTGCAGCGCTGAAATCAAGAAGGTTCGTTGCGATCGCTGATGCGGGGTTCGAGGATGCTGCAGACGGCGCCAGCGATTTTGGTGACACGATGAGTCTCGCACACAAGCACAAGGTTGTCGCGGAAACCGTGGAGATGGAGGAGGAGCAGGGGTTTCTTTTGAAATCTAGCCTGCTCCCTTACAAGGACGAAGATGATTTCGTTCTTCCTGGGAGTAGTAAGCAGCACGCATCAACATCAGGAGAGAGAGAGACAACTCTGTCTGGCAAAATGGATCCGAGGATAGACAGGTCTGGAAGCAATGGAACAAGCAAGGCAAGTGGTGGACAGAAAGTCAATTCATTTTCGTTTCGCATATACTCCCGCATTCTAAATTATAAGTCGTTTTGGCTTTTCTAGGTACATAGATATATTCTATGTCCAGATACATAATAAAATCAATGTATTTTGAAAAGCCAAAACGACTTATAGTTTAGAATGGAGGAAGTAGTATTTAACTAAGTTAGTGACAAATGAACATTTTTTTAAAAAGGTCTTAGCTTTAATTCACATTAGATTTGTGTGTGAATGCAGGAGAATTACTTAACCTATATTGCATCATTTTAGCTTAGCCACGTGACTGAAATAAAATATATGGCGTCCTGAAGTCCTTACCTTTCATAGCAGGTCCCTAGACTGGGTTCCATGCTTGGGACAGCCAGCATGGCTGGATTTGGCAAGGCAGTGGAGATTCTAGACACACTAGGCTGCTTGATGACGACCTTGAGCTCAGATGGTGGCTTTGTTTCCAGGTCCAAGACCAAAGGGTGCAAGATATCAATTCTTGCTTTTGAGGTTGCCAACACAATACTTAAAGGTGCTAGTATCATGCAATCTCTCTCGGAAGACACTGTCACATACTTCAAGCAAGTTGTGCTTCCTTCTGAAGGTGTACAGAATTTGGTTTCCAGTGAGATGAGTGAATTGATGCGAATTGCAGCTAATGACAAAAGGTACCCTGCAAGATTGTTGTCAGTTACCACGGTGGCTTTCTTATCGTCTTTGTCCAGTGAGTGTTTTGTGAACTCTGGTTAATATTTGCAGAGAGGAGCTGAGAATATTTTCTCAAGAGATTGTTAGGTTCGGGAACCGCTGTAAAGATCCCCAGTGGCATAACCTGGATCGCTACTTTGTGAAGTAAGCAGATTTCATGATTTCTCACATCAGCAAAGAATTAGTCAATATGCTTGAGTTTTTATATCTCTCTTGTTAATTTGACCTCTAGGTTAGAATCAGAAAGTGCACCCCAGAAGGAGCTGAAAGAAACAGCAATAGCAGAGATGCAGAAGTTGATGAACCTTGTTCAACGTACAACTGTGAGCACTGTGTTGTTCTCTAAAGATATCTTCTAAGCGACAAATGTCCATCATTTCATTTTATTTATATTTTGCTTTCTATTTCAGGATTTGTATCATGAGCTGCATGCATTAGACAGATTTGAGCACGAGTACCGCTCTAGGCTAAACAGAAAGGGTAATACAGATAGATTTGAAAAAGGTATGGCTCCTATCTATAACATTGTATTTCATTTTAGGGGGAAAACTGTGGATGCTTTTTGTCATTTGTTATGTGTTCATTACCTAAACAAAATGGCATTGTGGACCGTGCACATTATCTGAACTAAAAAGGATTGTGGAAGCTTAAGTAAAGAAAATTTCTCCTATAACTAATGTTTCTCTAAATCTAAAATTCACCTCATTATGTTTTTTTTTTGGGTTTGCGATGCCTGAGCACATATTTCATTAAGAGGAAGAGAGCAAACGCGACCACACGCACGACGGGGCTTGGCACCATTTAGAAGTCTAAAATTTACTTCATTATGGCAATGAAGCTGTAGTCCTTGAACTTTTCACACTATATTTAGGTTACTTTGCAGGAGACAATATTCAAATTGTGAGACTGGAGTTGAAGACCCAAAGTAGTTATGTGAAGAGCTTGAAGAAAAGATCTCTCTGGTCCAAGACGTTGGAAGAAGTGAGTAACTTTTGCTGTAGAATTTCTTTTGTATGCTAACATCAGCCTGCCTCTTTTTGGTTGTAATAATATGCTTTTCTGATGATAGGTAGTCGAGAAGCTTGTAGACATTGTGCACTACTTACATGTTGAGATCAACAATGCTTTCGGATATTCTGGTACTTCCACAGCCGATTTTCTCATGTTGAATCAGTCAAGCTTATTTCCAGCTGATCCTCTAATGCATTTGTAGATGGAGGTGTGGTGAATGCCGAATCAACTGTGAGCTGTCAAAGGCTAGGACCTGCGGACTTGCATTACATTATGCAAACATTATCATTCAGATTTATAGTATTGTAAGTTTCTCCTTGTTTTTCTAGGCCAGATCAAGATTTTGAGTTATTTACTTTCTTTTACCATCATAAATCATGTATCATCATCTAAAGCAGAAAGCTACTATGCTGTTCGCCTTCCTCTTTATTTTGGGCATTATTTTCTGAACTTCTAGTTCGCTAACGTAGATGCAGCTTCCATGATTGGATGTTATCCAAAACGAAGATAATTAACCAAACATAAGAATGACTGACAAGAATTGTGTAAATGGCTTTCAGCAGTGTTCACAACTCAGATACTATTTTAAGGCGTAAGAAATAACAAAACTTGCTTTTATAGGTTTCTCGATCAGGGTATGTGCCTGCAAATTCAAGAGATGCCCTCTACCAGGGATTGCCACCAAGGATCAAGTCAGCGCTTACCAAATAAATTGAGAACGACCTCAGTGCCTCAGGAGGTAATACAAGTAGAGAATAAGTGAACCATCGGCAATTTTTTCACACATTCTAATCCATGAATTCTGATGCAGCTCACTATTGATCAAATAAGGGATAGGATGGAGAAAACTCTGAAATGGCTTGTGCCCATGGCCATCAATACCACCGGTACTGTATCCTGCTTTACACCAAACATATGGTTTAAGGTTGATTCAGTTGTGCTGCTATTTGTAACGCCTACTGTCTTTCATGCTTACTTCAGTGCTCGAGGTTTCTTGAGGTTTAGCTAATGGGCGTAAATCAGGGTGAGAATGACCATTTCCAATGCTTTGATCCATGTTTTTCGTGAAATAGGAGTGGTTTCTTTTCTAATATTTGACTTTTGTGTTGTGGTTTGTTTACTGTTTCATTCAGGACTGAGAGGGTTGGTAAGTTTACCGGGTCAAGCAGATCCGATTGAGACGCTTATACCATGCTGACAAGGCAAGGACTGAGGATTGCATTCTAGAGTTGGTTGTCTGGCTTCATCACCTCGTCAGCCAGAGTAACCGTCCGGCAATGCAAAAAGCCACTGACCGATGTATCTAACTAAAAGCCAGGAATGGTCATGGACCATGACATGCTAAGCATCGCACAACGCCTTTTATCCAGAAAGGCTGTGTTTTGTCGAGTGGTCTAAGGTGTCAGAATTATCTGAAAAGAGGGGACATCAAACTCTTCTGATCCACCTTGCTGGTTGTTTTCGTCTTTGTTATTAGGTCGTACATGGAAACTAGAGTTGTTCTTGCCATGGAGGACGTGCGTTTTTTGTTTTTTTTGCCATGGAGGACGTACGTTTTTGTTCATGTCCGGATATATAGTCGGGCATGCATATATGTGCTCTGTACATCAGCTGAGTAGGTGTAGTATAAGAACTTTGTTACTTTGATCTGTTTGTTATTTGTAAGTGTAGTTGTGACAATCACATTATACAAAGAAAACGCACATCATGTCAGTGCAGGGAAAAGCCACATATTATCTGCGGTTGTGAATATCACAATTGGTGACCATACGGATGAGCTATTTGCTAGGACATAAGCTATCAAATTATATATAAACTGAACGCCCGATTCCAACCATAACTTAACTAAGCTGACATTGAGCCCCAAAAGTGCTGATCTTCGCTCCTTAGGCCTTGTTTAGTTTGGCTCCTAGGGCTCCAGCTCCTCTATGCATCTACTGTGCAACATTAAACGGCTCGGAATGATGAGGGAGAAGCTGCCGGAGCCACGTTTTTATGCTCCGGCTCCGGCACAAATCAATGGGGAATGAGGATAAGCTGGAGCCACGTTTTTGTGCTCAAGGCTAGAGCCAACATGAGCTCCTCCAAACGCGCTCTTAGACAGACCCAATTTTTGCTGCAAAACCAGGCCCCCATGGACAGCACCGTATGTCACGGTACCGAGCTAGCAAGCCCCTTGGAGAACACGTGTCTCACTATCCTCCTGCCAGTCGACTGCAAAGGAACTGATTCCTCATCGTCCTTGTTCATGGCCAACATGATCACCTTGGTAGCCCCATTTAGCTGCACTCAGCAGTGGCGGACCCAGGATCCTACATCGGGAAAAAATTCATGTGTAATATTATAAAATCTAAACAAAAAAGTTCGACAAATATAGCTATAAATTAACCAAATTACGATAATACATTTAAAAGGTTCAAACTTACATAAATACTCCCTCCATACTGGTAAAGAAAGTCAAGCAGGATATGATTTAGCATACCAAGGAGTGATTAATTAAGAGGTATTTTTTCCCTGCTTTTCCTTATTAAATAGGGTTATGGGTATCACCTATCCAACAAACTTTTTGTAGTCGGATTGGTAAGTTGCAGCAGCCCGAGACATAAGGTCCCCAGTTCGATCTCTCTCAAGCGTATATTATTTTTTGAAGAGCTTGTGGATTTGCGTGTCTTGGACTGGGCCGAGATTTAGAGTGACCGTGAGTCGGTTTATGAAGAGTAGTAATAGAATTTTGGACTGAATTTGTGGGTAGTCCTGGCCTACCTGGACTACCCACTAGGTCCGGCCACTGCACTCAGGGGCTTACTTAAGATTCAGAAAGATCATGGAATAAGGTTTGATTCGATTTATCGAAATTTCATAAATATCCCATTCTAAAAAAGAAACAATCGAGATTTTGTGGTGATTGCCTGTAGTTACTAATTCCTGATCTGGCCTGCATAGAATGAAAACTTCAATCTTGATTCTACGAGGATCTTTTTTATAAAAGCATTTCAATTGCTTCTTGTCCATAGAAGTTTCCATTTTCCTTGATGGTGGTGAGTATGGGTGCATGTTGGCCACAGGGGCGGAGCCCAGCGGAGGCGATATTAGGCTCCCGCCCTCCTTGGCTCAAATAATTTTTATGGGCCAGTGAGTTTCTTAGCCTTCATCATGGACTTATAACACCAGTAGCATAGCACCAGCCTAGAGTGAAGATCCCACTCACGCGCACACCATTTGCTCCAACCGCGCGTGGACCAGCGCAGTACATTGATGATGACCATTTGCTCCACGCTTCGCCGCTGGTTGGCCACATCCGCGGTGACTAGACACGATGAACTACGAACCCATGGATCTGAGGTGGGCAAGTGTGACAGTTGCCAAGGTGGAGGAGAAAGGAAAATAGAGTTTGGTGGGGTTATTATATGTGGTGTCAGGTGATGTGTGACGGGCTGTTATACGGGTTTTGCGTCTATGCCTACCTCTAACCAAGTTGTGTCATGCCTAGAGGCGAAGCCAAAAATACAATTTTTTTCTTTCATAACTGAGCCAGTAGTATAAATTGTCAGAAATTAAAAAAAAAAAACAGTGCAAATGGTACCAACTTAATGGGGTTCTTATCCCCCCTCGCCCTACTCTCCATGCTTAGCCGCGCCTCACGAACAGGTAGGTATGGCATAACGGGTCATGTTGTGTTGGATATATGCCAAAAGGACTAATCTTGTGTTAAGTTAGCCCATTTGGCCATCTGCATTCTCAACTCATGTTTGAGAGTTCTTATTGATCATAACCACATACAAATCTAGTGGTTATATTAATGAGTATATGAGAGAAGCCATATTTATCTATATATCTTTCTTCTTTATAATATTAAAGAGCCAAAATTTCTTCTTCTCTTTTTTTTTTTTTGTATGGTCTCCTCTAACTAACTTCATAAACGCGAAAACTATCTCTATTTATCTAGCTCAAGCCCTCTTGTTTTATATTTGGCATATGCAGGATTTATTAAGGTAACCTAGATAGCTAAGAATCATAATTTGAATAAATGTCTGTAATCCTGAATAAGAATTAGAGTAAAAGTGTGTACCGCGTGTTTTTGGTCGGTTGTCAGAGTAGAAATTTGTACCGCATATTTTTTCACTCGGTTGTTCTGTCTCTTTGTTCCCAATTCGTTTTCGGTTTTCTCTGTCCCAAATTCATTTAAGATTCCTGTTTTCTATTTCCGGTTCCATTTCGCCCAGCATTCTTTGCTGTTTTGTGTTTCCATCTTTTTTCTTCCTTTGTGTTTCTGATTTTCTTTTTGTTTTTGTTTTTTCGCTATTTGTGCTTCTTTTTTTCTTTTGTTTTTCTGTTCCCTGAGTTCCTTTTGGGTTTCTGGATCTTTTTGTTCAGCTCAGTTTGAGTTTCTTAATTTATTTTTGTTTGACTCAGTTTTCTATTTTGTTTTTTATGTTCTACTTGGTTTATGGATCCGATTTTTGTTCACCTTATACCTTGGCTCTGTTGTTCTTTTTCTCATTTATGAGCCTTGAACCATTGACTCTTTCTCTAAGAACAAAAAAAAAAGCAATTTATTAATTTTGTCTAATTTATTTTCTTTGACTCAGTTTTTCTATTATTATTATTATTATTATTATTATTATTATTGTTCTGCCTTCGGTTTATGGGTTTGATTTTTGTTCACCTGTGCCTTTGATCTAGTTGTTCTTTTTCTCATAAACATAAAAACATATTATAAGCGCTTGAACCATTGACATCCCTCAAGAAACAAAAAAATTTTCACCAGTTTATTGTTGGTGATGTAGTTTTGATAAGAAAAAAATCTTATTTTCATTAAAATCTAAGATTAACCGATGGTTCAACTAATCAGACCTTCCAGAACTAAAATCTCAAGCATTTTGTTATTCGAATTCTTATCAAATAAATGTATTTTGTGATCCCAGAGAGCTACCATGTGAAAATTGAGAGAGGTCTCCGTCATGGTTGTCATCAACCGACGATGACTTCAATTCTTGATATATGTCGACAACTAACTCCTTTACTGCCTTTAATAAGAGATAGAATTACATGCTTTTGAGGGAAAACAAAGAAAGTCACCAACTTGATATTTAATTATAGCAACATATGGATATTACGGTTATGATATATCTACGCTTAAATATTTATATGCTCTGCAGTAGGAAAAAACTATGAAGATTATATATTAATTCGACACGTGTAACTTATATTTATTTTTTTCTCGAATAATGCAAAGGTTTGTGCATCATTGTATTAAGATCGAAATTTGGGTTTTTACATCGACGCCGCCACTCAAGTGGTTCACCGGGAGGCAAAAAGATTTTACATCGAGCTTATCCTCCTAGCGGATTCACGTTACAAACTCTATTACTCAGCAAGAGACAACATAGTTATCACGCCTCATACCTCAATCCACTTGTCCGCGATAAAATCTTCAAAACAACTAGAGCAACTTGTTAGACAACAATAAGATGGTGATAAAAGCGCTTTTGCTCTAGCTTTTAAAAAAGATTATGCAAGCCACCTACCCAATACTAGTTGCTATGATTTCTAGATGGTATATCATTAAACCAAGCAACCTTTTTGCACTATAACTACAAATCTAGTGAGCTAGCAAAAGATTGATACAACTAGTTACAACTAATTACAATCATGCTAAACAACTAGCAAGAAAATTGGTTACAACTAGGAAGGCTACCAAGAGAACTAGAAAGGCAAAGAAACTAGCAAAGACCACCAAGACAAGTATATCAATGAATTGTACACAAATGAGGTAGAGATGTATTCCAAGTCCGACAAGAGATATATCAATCACAATGAATACCAAAGGGAGCCAATGAATCAATTGACACGTGATTTTTCCTCCCAGGTTCACTTGCTTGCCAAGCAAGCTAGTCCTCGTTGTGTCGATCAGCTTCCACTTGGTAGTTCACGTGTTTATAGGCATCACGCCTAGCCCAACACTGGGCGCCAGAAGAACCTTATATAAATGAGGCACTCAATCTGAGCATTTAGCTGAGTTGCTTTCTGTACGCCTCCAATGAAAGGCACAAGAACCCCTCACAAATCCTTGATCAAAGATATAACTCGCCAAATCCTCACCAATCAATCAACTGTCTAGGACTCTAGGTGACGGCAATCACCAAGAGTAATAAGAAATCCATAATCACAATTATCAC